AATTGCGATGTTAGCACATGACACTAACAATAAGTTAATTGTTTGACAGAAAAAAAAAGACGAAATCTATAGATAAAAATCTATCTGTTGAAACTTTTTTTTTAAAGACTGTTTTTAATTGTATTATTGTTGTAGCAAATGAATAATATACTTTAATTCCGTGTTTACTTTTTAATGAAAATAAAGTATATTCATTTGTTACAATACATAATTAAAAAACAAAGTTTTTCAGAAAAAAGTTTCAATGGTTTGATTTATTAAAATTTTGTAATATTATTTTTGAAATACAATTTAGGCATACAGAAATAATATGATCTTTAAAAGTATATTTTCCCTTTTTTCTTTATGTTTCCGTTTTTCTGCAAGCTACTAAAAAAAAAATCGCAATTTTTTTCCACAATTATGTCAGTTGTAGCAAACGAGCGATATGTAAAGTTCGTCAAATCAAATAAAATCAAATAAAGTCAAAATCAAATTAAAGGAAAAATAAAGCGTTGTGTAATGTTACGTTTCCAAAAAAAAATCTCATCCAGTAATTGTGATACATCAAATTAATTGATGACGAAATGTAAGGCGTTGTTATTACTATCACTTTGTATTATTTCTAGACGCGATAGAAATGAACTTAAAAACAAGTTTGTCCGGAAATTAACATCCAAGAAGTGTCAATTACGACGTAATCGGAATAACATGTCGCGATCAGAACTCCAGCCATCGTTGCGACGCGACCGTTTAGAAATGGTCAGTTGAGTGATGTGCTATCAACACATAATCGCGTGAAAATTATCTTATCGGGAGCAACATCGTACGGTGCAACAACCGCTTAGGGACAATAAAACAATCGCAAACGGTAGAACGCCCGAAGCCATTTTTACAGAAGAGTCCACTAGAGACTCGTAGACGAAAGAATTAAGGCGTACCAAGAGATCAAAAGGAAAAAAGACCCTCACCTCTTTGTCCGTTAAACGACCGGGTAATCAAGAAGATACCGCTAGCGAGGTCCGAAGGTGACGACGACGACGACGGCGACGACGACGACGACGACGACAACGACGACGAGTCCAGCCAGCACCTCGCTAGTCTACCCGGTCCGCCCACCGTCATTTGTGATGTGGATTCATTTACGCGTGTCTGCCGTGCCGGTGGCGACGATGATCGATGCCACAGATGTTGCTCCCGGTTGCTCCTCCCGCACAAGTTCTACGACGCGAACCGTCGGGGCTGCCGTACAACGGCGACGACGGCGACGGTGACAACGACAGGGAAGCCAACGACATCGAATCGAACGTCGCTGGTGGGCCGCTCCGGTTCACTCGAGACGCGTGTTTACACGGCACCGCTCGGTCGCTTCTTACATTCCACCGTCCGCGACGCAATCCTCTCGCCTCTCCCACTCTTTTCTCTTCTCTCTCTTTCTCTCCCCCTTTATGCGTTCTCCGTCTCGCGGGATGCGAAACTCTTGTGCTCCTGCTGATGGATCACCTCTTCTTTCTTGACGCAACCGTGCCTTCGTAGTACTCTGTATTCTGATCTCGTTTCGTGTCTCTCTCTCTCTCTCTCTTATTTTTCTCTCGCTCCTTCTACGTTGAGGACTACCTCGCCCACCCGCGGTAACTTTTTCCCCTTTGTCTATTTGTCTATTCGTCGGCGCGCAGCAGTCGCGCGTGCAGTAGGCGACTTCCGGGCACCTTCCTCGATGACGACGGTGCGCCGCGAGCGCGCGACACACTTCCCACTTTTTTTCTCGCCTCCTCCTCCTCCGCCCGACTCTTTCACTCCTCTCCGTCGATTCGCCACCGTCTGTCTCGCTTCCTCACGTACAACCGCGCGCGCGCGCGCAAGCACATGCATGAACGTGCAGCATGCACGTATATAGGAGAGCGTACCTCTACGTATGTCGCGTCGCCCGCTTGACCGTTTCTCCGTTATTCTCTCGGACGGAGTCGTCGCACTCTCGCGATCACGCGCAAGATCCGGGATCGCGGAATTTCCCGCGATCAACGTTATGACGACGGTACTGGATCTCGGCTTTCTTTTATTTTTCTCCCTCTCGGATGACGGCGTTAAAACACGACACTACGAGATGACGACGGGCGTGCGCGTACACACACCCGCGACGCGGTGACACATGAGAAAGCTATGGAACGTGGTGGAACGTCTCTCTGTAGTAACGTATTTGTACTCTCGACTGAGTCGACGACACGATACTCCTGACTTTGGACGCGCGCTCTCAGCGCCAGCCGGTCGTCCGCCGCGACTGCCATCTTGTTGCGAACTCGGACACTATCGTGAATCCCGATGGCGCGAATTACGAAGCTTTCGGCCGAGTGTTCAATCGAAATCTTCTCGATTAAAATCGGTATTCATAGGGCTTTCCATTTGATAACATAAATTGACGCAAATCGATACAAGTGTCGTTCTATCTTTATTATTCTCTGAATGTCAAGAAGGATAGAACGACACTTGTGTCGACTTGTGTCAAATGCACCCAATGGGAAAACACCCATAGTCGATTCTTATATTTGAGACTATCTTAAAATGTCATTTTAAGGAGTCAACCAAAAAGTTGTATTAGTATCTGAAGATATTATTTAAGACGTCTTAAAATAAGAACCGGATTATGAATACTGCTATCGAGACTTCCGTTATATTCACTGCGAATATTGATAATTAATCTATAGTTATGTATACTGTAGTTTTTCGATTCACAGTGAATAACGAAACACAGCCTAGATATGATTATTAAGCACATAAAAAATTTAAGCAGTAAGATGTAAACATAAGCAACTGTAAGGAAATTAAAATATGTTGGATTTGCTTCTAATTATGTTATAATCTTACGATCTCTACTGTGATTGGCAATTTGCTTATTGTTTACGTTTTACTGCTTCAGTTTTTTTTTGTGCCATGACCCTCCCTCCCCTCCCCAAGAAACTGTATATTCCAGATTGCACAAGGAATTTAAAAAGAATTAAAAAATAATTAATCGCATTATGTTATTCATTTTGAGTTGCAAAATGAATTCTTTTCAAAACTTTTTAGAAAAAAAATTCAGAATTTATGACATACGACTAAATTCTTTTTGAACTCTCTTATTTATCTGGAATGCGAATATATATATA